GAATTTTACCAATTTTACCGTATTTTACCGTAATTTACGGTATTTTACGTAAATTACCGCCGAATTTTAATTTTACCGTAAAAATACATCCCTAGGCGTGGCCACGTACAGCTGCAGCACGGCGGACGCGAACCACGTCTGGATCATGCACTGTGGGGAGAGCAGAAAATGCGCCATGACATCGGCTCGAGCTCCGAAAATCGAGAAAAACAAAACAAAATCTGGAAGAATGTAAAGATATATAAACTTTCCAAAATTTGCTCCAATTAAAAAAATAGTTTTATGTTGTATTTTTTTGGTAAACTTTATATGTGAATCCCAGTAGCTGGGGTCTTACCCGCGAATCGGGGCTAACGTAGTTGTTGACGAAGAGTAGGTGCGCCCACCAGTTGGCCTTGCAGTCCCGCGACGCCTGGCCCACCACCTGGTCCCACATCGGCCCGTCTCCCATGAACTCCACCCAGAGGACCTCCACGGCGAGCACCACGGCCAGCGCCGGCAGAAGCCGCAGGTAGCGGATCACGTAGTGCTGCATCACCACCATCAGGTTGTAGCGGCGCAGCTTGCCGATGTGGATCATGGAAAGGCGCGCCTCCAGGAAGCCGCTGATAACGAAGAACGTGGACACGATCACGGTCCCGTTGATGATCGACATCTTTAGCGCCCTGGTGAACGACTGGAACAGGACGTCGTGAATGAGGACGTGAGTGGAGTGAGCGGCTGGCTGGACCAAGGGCTCAGGACAGCGGAGACTTACGTTCTCGACGTACTCCGGGTTGGAGAGCGGCCCGCCGAACAGGTACATGGCCCGGTGTCCGAAGATGATCATGAACATGGTTATGGTGCGCAGGCCCTGGATAGAGTGGATTTGAGACTGCTGCTTGCGGCGCAGGCGGCACCAGTTCGCCTGGATGGCGAAGCAGTCCAGTTTGTACGTTGGAGAAGTGAGGCTCGGCTTGTCCAGGGTGGTCTGGCTGTGAGCGTCGGGCCCGCGGCAGGCCGCGCGCACCGAGGCCACGAGCACCGCGAGGGGGAAGGAGAGGATGAAGACGCTGTAGGGAATAGAAAAGGGGGAGAGGGTGAGTGTTGCGCGACACCTACACTCCTCTTAGAGTGGTCCAAAATTAAATCTCCCTCAATGTGTTACTAGGCGGCCTCCACCACGGGGGACGGGGACCGACTCTACACCGACATCCGCACCTGCCGTAGAGGAAGAGCGGCCGCTCCTGCAGCCTGCGGAAGAACTCCTCGAAGATACTGCCCCGGGCGGTGAAGTCGGTGCAGTCGTTGGGATTCAGGCGGAGGAGCAGCTCTACGCCCAGTTTCTTGGCCAGGCCGTCGATCGAGGCGGCCAGCGCGTCTCCAAGCCGCCCGGGACCGGCGTCCCGATGGCAGGCCGCGGGCAGACAGACGGCCCACTGCATCAGGTCGCGCCGGTAGCGGCGGCGGTTCCCAGAGATCTGCGCAAACGGACACGCAAATGTGTGTAAACGCCAAACCGCACAATCCTCACCCCCTTACCCCCTTGTTCGACGATTCAAAAAGAAGGCTCTTCTCACCTTGAACCAATCCCACAGCGTAGCATTTTGCCCGTGCGGCGGTTCGTACGGGCTGATCTCGTCACCGGGGTGCTCCCGCACTCCAGTTTTAGACACGGGCCTCACCACCACGTCCGGGAGGCAGAACATGGACGCCGGAAGCGCGGCGCACGCATCAAAGTTACCCAGGCTGAACATATTGCCGGAGAGTAGGGCGTCGGGCAGGATGACGGACGATTCCTGCACTGAGAACGTCGACAAATCGTTGTAGTTTGAGGAGAAAAGGGCCACTCTCACAAGATGGCATCGCGAGGCGAGCTATCATGGGACTCACTTTTAAGCGCCCACAGCAGCAGGCGCTCGCGAGCCTCCAGGAAGTCCTGGAGGCCGCTCTTGCACTCGGCGGAGGGAGCGTGGGTCCAAAGCTCGCGGAACAGGTCCAACCGCGCGAGGACATCGGCACCGACCCTCTCGACGCCTGTAGGACCGTCACAGAAACACTCAGCACCACACGAAAGGCAGGCTCCAGGTG